AACCTTCACTGACAGCCTCATTGAGACCCTTTAGGCTTCCATTAAAACTCTCCTCGAGGCTCCTTCCGTTTTCACTGACACTCTCTATGATCCTTTATGCTTCTTTCTGCTGCCCAGGTCCAGAGCCAATGCCATGTGTGTCAGACTTTTGTTACTGCAGCACCCTATTTCTGGTACCAGAATCTGTCCCAATAATCTTTTGCCATGTAACAAACCACCACAAAATTTCATGGTTTAAAACAACAATGTGGGCAGGCCTGGGTGGAGACAGTTTGTCTCTGTTGCATGCAGCATCAGCTGGGGTGGCTTGACTAGGACTGAAGGATCCACTTTCAGCACATGGCCAACCAGCTGGTTCTGGCTGTTGATTTATCTCCAAATGGACCTCCCTACAGGGTGGCTTTGCTTCCTCACACATGTTGGGGTCTCAAAGCAAATGTCCCAAGAAACAGGAAGTAGAAGTTGTCAGTTTCTTAATCCTTGGGCCCAGAAACTGGTACAGTGTTGTTTCCGCATAGTCTAAAGGCTTTATAGTTTTGCCTTTTATATTTCATCATTTAATCCATGTAGAATTTTTTAAAATCATCACCAGACTAGTTATATTATTTCCTTTTTGTGTATTTTAACTGAGGTAAAGTTTCTACATTTAGTGAAATGTACAGATCTTAAGCGTACAATTTGGCTGGGCACGTTGGCTCACGCCTGTAATCCCAGCACTTTGGGAGGCCAAGGCAGGCAGATCATGAGGTCAGGAGTTCAAGACCAGCCTGACCAACATGGTGAAACCCCATCTCTACTAAAAATATAAAAATTAGCCTCGCATGATGGTGCATGCCTGTAATCCCAACTACTCAGGAGGCTGAGGCAGGAGAATCACTTAAACCCGCGAGGCAGGGGTTGCAGTAAGCCAAGATCGCACTACTGCACTCTAGCCTGAGCGACAGAGAGAGACTCCATCTCAAGGGGGAAAAAAAAAAAAAAAACCGTACACTTCAATGAGTTTTAAGCACCCATGTAACTACAACTCCAAGCAAGACAGAAGACATTTCTGCCACTCGTGAAGTTCCCTCATGCCTCCTCACAGTTGGTCTCCACTTCCACCTTTATTCTGATTTTTATCACCATAGATCAGACTTCCCTATTCTTGAACTTAGTGTAAATGAATCATACTATATGTACTCTTTTGTATCTGGTTTATTTCACTCAGTGTTTTAAAAAGCACCCATGTTCTTGTGCCTATCAGTAGTTCCTTCTTTTTTACTGCCAAGCAATATTCCATTAAATGAATATACACTCACATATTGCTTAATCACGGGGATATGAGCAGAGAAATGCATCATTAGTCAATATCCTCATTTTGTGAACATCATAGTGCGTCGATCTTCAACCTTTTTGGCACCAGGGACTGGTTTTGTGGAAGACATGGACCATGAACCAGGGGCAGGGGGGATGGTTTCAGGATGAAATTGTTCCATCTCATATCATCAGCCATTAATTAGATTCTCATAAGGAGCACACAACCTAGATCCCTCACATGCGCAGTTTACAATAGGGTTCATGCTCCTATGAGGATTTAATGCCACTGCTGATCTGACAGGAGGTAGTAGTGCTCACTCACCTGCTGCTCAACTCCTGCTGTGCAGCCCCTTTCCTAACAGGCTGTGGACCCCTGTATTGGTCTTCAGCCTGGGGGGTTGGGGACCCCTGTCATAGTGTACTTACTCAAACCTAGATGGTATAGCCTATTGCTCCTAGGCTACAAACCTGTACAGAATGTTACTGTGCTATAGGCAGTTGTAGCACAATGGTAAATATTTGTGTATCTACATATGCATAAAGATAAAGAGGATACAGTAAAATTATGATTTAAAAGATTTTTTGAATGGTACACCTATACAGGGTACTTACCATGAATGGAGCTTGCAATACTAGAAGTTGCTCTGAGTGAGTGGTAAATGAGTGGTGAGTGAATGTGAAGGCCTAGGACATTACTGTACACTACTGTAGACTTTATAAACACTGTACACTTTGGCTACACTAAATTTTTTTAATTTTCTTCAACAATAAATTAACCTTAGCGTACTGTAACTTTTTTACATTATAAACTTTTTAACTTTTTGACTTTTAATAACACTTAGCTTAAAATACATACATACTTTACAGCTGTACAAAAATATTTTATTTTTATAAGCTTTTTTCTATTTAAAAAACTTTTAGATTTATTTTATTCTTTTACTTTTTAAACTTTTTTGTTAAAACCCAAGACATACACACACATTAGCCTAGGCCTACACAAGATCAGGATCATCAGTGTCACTGTTTCCTATCTCCATATCTTGTCCCACTGGAAGGTCTTCAGGGACAATAACATGCATGGAGCTGTCATCCTGTGATAACAATGCTTTCTCCTGGAATACCTCCTGAAGGACCTGCCTGAGGGTGTTTTACACTTAACTTTTTTAATAAGTAGGAGTACACTCTACAATAATGATAAGAAGTATACTAAATACACAAATCAGTAACATAGTCATTTATTATGTTACCAAGTATTATGTACTCTACATAATCCTATATGCTATACTTTTTTATATGCCTGGTAGTGCACTAGGTTTGTTTACACCAGCTTCCTCACAGACACACGAGTAATGCACTATGCTATGACTTTACATTGGCTACAAGGTCACTAGGTGATAGGAATTTTTCAGCTCCTATGAGACCACTATCATATATGCAGTCTGCCATTGACCAAAATGTCATTATGTGGCGTATGACTGTACCACAATTTGTATATCTTCTCTTTTTGGTGGATATTTGGGTTGGTTCTAGTTTGGGGTTATTATGAATAAACTATTATGAACATTCTTATAGGTGTCTTTTTGTAGACACTTGTTTTTGTTTACTACTCTTCTTATCTCTCTGGGTTCCTGCATTTTTAGTTATTTCAGTAAAAGAGTCACATTACTAGATGTGAAAATTCTGTTTCTTAAAAGACTTCAGTTAATCCTTATTTTATTAGATCTACCTCACACTCACCTCCAGAGGCACCAACTCTGCCAGTTCTTAGGCCTTTCGCAAATTATGAGAGCGTGGTTCTCATCACTCCCCACTGCTACTTTAAGGTATGCAGCTTTGTTGGGTCTGTTGAGTCAGTCACTACCTTTCCAGTCTGCTTTCTACCTTCCTAAATTTTATTGTCATCTCCTCTCTTATCTGGCTCATTTTAGTGAGTTTTTGGAGAGAACATAGTTAAATGTATTTGTTCAATTCATCTTGTTTACCCTTTTCTTCTTTTTTGTTTTTATGTTTCTCCTGTCACTTCCCACATACCACCTCCCTACTTTCTGTTTTCCATTTCTTCTGTCCATGTTGGTTCTCCTTAGAATTAGAATTATGAAGGTGGAGAATCCTCAGAGAGCATCTGGCTCAGTCACTTCATTTTTCAGGCGGTGAACCTGAGACCCAAAGAGAACAACAGTCCATCCACAGGCCACACAGCTACTGCTCTTATCTTTTCTACCTTTAATAGCAAAGAGACTTTTGCCCTTCTACCCCTTCAGCTAGTGAGCCACAACCACACAAGAAAGAAGAGTACTCACTACTCAAATGGGAAACTGGAAAGCATATGGGGGAGAAAATGTCATTCCTGACCAGGTTGCTGTGGGTCCTGAGGAGAAAACAACTCCAGAGACAACTCTGTTAGGATGGCCTTAGTCTCCCATACCCACTGCAGTGCCAGGTGGAGGCCAGTAGCTAGGAGAGTGCTTAGCTGTCTTGGGACCCTCAGGCTCTTTTCACTTTTTTTTTTTTAGAGGGTCTCACTCTGTCATCCAGGCTGGAGTGCAGTGGCACGATTACAGCTCACTGCAGCCTTTAACTCCTGGGCCCAAGCAGTTCTCCCACCTCAGCCTCCCAAGTAGCTGGGACCACAGGCACATGCCACCTAGCAAATTTTTTGTAGAGATGTGGTCTCACTGTGTTGCCCAGGCTGGTCTCAAACTCCTGGCTTTAAGTGATCCTCCCGCCTCAGCCTCACAAAGTGCTGTGATTACAGACGTGAGCCACTGCGCCCAACTTTTTTTTTTTTTCTTTTTTTTTTTTTTGAGACTGAGTCTCACTCTGTCGCCCAGGTTGGAGTGCAGTGGTGTGATCTTGGCTCACTGCAAGCTCCGCCTTCCAGGTTCAAGTGATCTCCTGCCTCAGCCTCCCGAGTAGCTGGGATTACAGGTGCCCGCCACCACGCCCAGCTTTTTTTTTTTTTTTTAACTTTTAGTAGAGATGGGGTTTCACCATCTTGGCCAGGCTGGTCTCAAACTCCTGACCTCATGATCCACCTGCCTCAGCCTCCCAAAGTGCTGGGATTACAGGGTGAGCCACCACGCCCAGCCCAACTTATTTTTTTAATCCAATTTTTTTTTTTTTAATTTTTACTATATTCTTTGGGCATGAATGTAGATGTAGAAGATAACAAAGGGACTTTAAGGCCCAAAACAGAAAACAAGGCAAATGATCAATGGTGCAACTATTCTAAATCCAATGACATACATACACACATGCACTCACACACACACACACACACACACATATGCCCTTGCTAATATTGCCATTGCCCCACAGCTCCTTACACATATATGGTAAGAGGTACAAAGAATATGTGAGGCAACCAAGTACAAAAAAATTGAAGTATGTACAAGTGGGGAATTGTTTAGATTTTCTTTTCAGTGCACAGAAGACAAAGTGCAAACTCTGTGTCTTGGCCTTTGGTCTGGGCCACTCTTCCAGTCTTCCCACAGACTTTGATCATGCAGTTTGGGTTGGCAGTAGCTGGGCACAGCCTTTTCTTGACCCTCCACCTCTACCTCCCACAGCATTTCACCAGCTTAGCTGCTAGGAATTCTGTTAGGAACCAGAGGCCAAGGTATAAAAGATGGAATAAGATACCGTTCTCTGACTTCTCTATCCCAGAGACTCTTGAAGCTTCTTTGATTCTTTGTCTCCCATAGTTTGTATCTACTTGAACAAGAATGGCAGCACAGGCCCCCACTTAGATAAGAAGAAGGTCCAGCAACTCCCTGACCATTTTGGACCAGCCCGTGCCTCTGTGGTGTTGCAGCAGGCTGTCCAGGCCTGTATCGACTGTGCTTATCACCAGAAAACCGTCTTCAGCTTCCTCAAGCAAGGCCATGGTGGTGAGGTTATCTCAGGTAAGCACTGTTTGGCTCATATTGCCTCCCAGCCAGAAGGACCCACCTTCTCAACTGGTTGATTTCTTGTAAGGCATCCTGGTTCTCACTTCATACCTGTAGGCTCTGGAAAAATGTGAAGGTATTCCATTCCTTATCTCCAACCCCCCAAGAGCCCCTCTGAGCCTTATGCATACCTCTGCCAAAGAGAATGCCCACAGATTCTGCTTCACTGAGCCTCTAAACTGATTCCCCCCATCTACCTGATTGGCCTATCCATACAGAAAGTATAGGAGAAAGAATCCAGAGGGGGCTATGTTGTGGCAGCAGAGGGGTTTCTCCAGACTGTTGCAGCCTCCCACCTGGTTTCAGGAACCAATGAACTCCCCTCTCATTCCTTTGACTCCTTAGCTTCCTGGTCCTAAACCAGGCCCAGTAGAAGAGAATTAAATCCCAGGGTGGTTGGGGAAAGTCATTTCCTTTTTCTTTACTGCTATGAGAGTTTGATTCAGTGACACAGTATATTTTGCTCTCACAGAATATTTACTTTTTCTACTGTGCCCTGATTCTGTTTCAGTTATCCTAAATCCAAAATCCTATTTAGCCACTAAACCTATGAAGACTTGACCTAGAGCCTTTCAGTCTTAACTGATGCTATTCCATAATCCCCTGCTTCTCCTCCCTAGCAGGCTGTAATAACCAGCTTCAGGAAACCCAGCTGGCATGGAAGACCCCATCAATAACCAGACTGTATTATTTTAGCAAACATTTATTGAACCCTTACTATGTATCAGGTGATTGTCAGACACTGGCCAGGAGAAGGGGAGAATAGAAGATGACAGCTTAGGCTCCATACCAGTGAAAAAGAAGAATGTATGTGAGAAGTGCTATAGCTAACTGTGAGAAGTGCTATAATAGGGAAATGTGTACACAGTGGTGTGGGAACCCAGACCAGGGAGTAATTGACTGTGAGGAAGATGGAGCAGACAGGCAGGGAATTATAGAAGACTAGGAACTGGCCAGGTGCAGTGGCTCACACCTGTAATCCCAGCGCTTTGGGAGGCTGAGGCGGGCGGATCACCTGAAGTCAGGAGTTCAAGACCAGCCTGGCCAACATGGCAAAACCCCGTCTCTACTAAAAAAAACCACAAAACATTAGCCAGGCATGGTGGTACATGCCTGTAGTCCCAGATCCTCAGGAGGCTGAGGCAAGAGAATCACTTGAACCTGGGAGGCGGAGGTTGCAGTGAGCCGAGATCGTGCCACTGCACTCCAGCCTGGGTGACAGAGCAAGACTCCATCTCAAAAAAA